GGGGGGAGGGGGGTGCCAGGCAGAGATCATAGCGCCCGGACAAGGCAATGCTTCATGTAACAGCAGCAGACATGCCGTACCTAGAAAATACAGCAGCATCTGTGCTGCTCAGTCGCTGTGACAATAACAACCATGACTCCCTCCCCCCCGTTTCCAAATGTACCCCAAAAAAAAAGGTACTGTTCCCAGCTGAAAACAACTGAGAAACAACTTCTCAGTGGTCAGGAAGCCCCCTAGGAAACAGTGCGGGTCCCAAGAGCCAGCTTCTTGCTGCTCAAGGAAGCTCCCACAATCCCTCTTCCTAAAGAGCAAAGACAGTGCTGGGATGTGTCCTAAACCCTCAGCGGGAATCCGTTCGTTCATTCAGAAGCTACCCACCTGGTAGGGAAAATCAACAAACTTTATCCTGGAGAGAAATCTCCGCAGCTCCCCACGGCCAATTTTGGGGGTGGCCTCCTTTAGCTGGACCACTTGGCCCTCCATCAATGCCCACCGGAGACTAAGCTTGCTGACCACCAGGGGCGCTGGATGGCCTTCGGAGCCTGGCCCTGTTGTCCTGGTAACATAAAAGGCATCTTTCCAGAGGTCGTTAATTCCAACTGAGGAAGGACAAAAACAAGAGCAGTCAACAAGGACAGAAAGCTTCCGCTCACAGAATGGTTCAGCTCAGCCACTAGACTCATTCATTGGCCCCCTCCAGTCCTCCAACAGGCTTCCTGAGCACCTGTCAACTGCCATGCACTGGCAGAGCACTGACTGGGTGGTTGCCCACAAGGCTGCCCATTCACCTGGGTCTCCAATAAAGAAGCCCCAAATCAAGAAATGAGAGGCTGTGCCAATGATGGCGAGAATTCAGTCAAAAAGGCAGCACAGTAAAGCAGAGGACCTGAGCGTGCCAGATGGTCAGGACATGGTGCAGGTAACCTACCTATCTGGCTGGTGGTACTCTGCCTCACCTTTAAAACAGGCATAACAGAAAAAGGTCTCAGTTCTTTGGTGCGATGTTCAGGGAACGATAGTTTATGCTAATACTGAAAAACAGCTCAGGCAGGATTCTACCTCCCCACTTGGCTCCCACAAAGCCACCAGCAGATTATGGATCAGCTCTTCTTCCCAATGTACCCCAACAAACTGAGATTCACGAGCCTTAACTTCCAGGCAAATGAGTTTGTAGTCAGAACACAAGAGACTGCAAAAAGGAAGGAAAAGTGGCTGCTTTGGGAGTCCCTCACCCCAGGAGCGGGCAGCAGGCTCCCCGGGGCCAGCAGAGGCAGGCACCTCTGAGGAGACCAGGGATGACGCCAGGCTAGTGGGCGGCACTGGCTGCAACTCTGGGGCCTGGTTCCCTAATTACAGGTGTCTAGTATGTGATCCCTGCTTTGCTGTACCGTGTTATTTATAGGCATACGTGGAACAGACGAATCTTTCCAAAATGTTCACGGTGGTTATGAAGGGTCAGGTTATGGCTGAGTTTTTTTGTTCCTTTGGTTTTTCTCCTGGCTCCTCCACTGCCATGCAAGGGCTGTGTTGGCTTTTACAGTGAAAGCAAAGTCTCTGCTGATCCTACACCAATGCTCTGAGAGATGCTCTAGCTCCATCATGTCCCTCAAAGTTCCCTCCAGATGTTGAGCTCCTGGAGGATGCGTTCCCGCACCCTGCAAGGACCGGCCATGTAGCTGATGCTCAGAAAGCTGCGCGTGTGCCAGCAAGGATGCTGACACCACAGGACCCCGGGACCAGGAGGCGCTGACCTTCAGCTTTCAGCACGGCCACAGGAGAGGGGGTCCCCAGCCTGAGAGCCTACTGCTACCCCAGAAGGAGCACCCCCTCCAATGGCCCCCGACACCAGGGACATGCACAGGACTGGCCCAGCACACACGCCTCTGTCAGCTGAAAGCACGACTGACCCCTGGGCAGTCTGTGGCCACCCTGCCCTGCCCACGCCTGTCCCAGCAGTGGCACTCACCCTCCGAAGCTGTCACCGTGCCTGTAGCATTAGCCAGATCCAGAAGAATGGAGGGGAAAGCTGGATGCAGGAGGTAAAGGTGGTAAAATCCGGGTGGCTCCGTTCCCAGGGTGCCGTCCTGACCATGAGAAGGAAAAACAGCAAGGGTGACGCTACCTCCCCGCACGCGCAGGTCCTCAGGTGAGAAGCCAGCGCTCACTCCTTGCAGAGCTAAGGCCTGGGCCCAGTGCCACAGCTGTGCCAGAGAAAAGCTGCCACATGCAACCTCATGTCACAAGTTCAAAAAGCTCCTGTTGCTAGAAAATGCTTTCTGCCCGCTTTAGGATTTTTTTTTTTAAGATTTATTTATTTATGCATACAGAACTGGGGTGCAGGCCAGAGGTGCAGGGGCGATGAGAAGCTTCACCAGAGACAGAGTGGGGAGCAGATCAACAAAGTCCACTGCTGAGGGGAGCAGTGGGAGGGTCAGGAGAGGTCTGCAGTGCCATGTGGGTCACCTCCGGGGCAGGGATCGAACTCGTGCTGAAGCGGCTGCAGTTTGCTTGCAGTGCTGCACTTTGACCACTAGGGAGGGCCTTTTAAGGATTGTTTTTAAGGAAGAAAGGCAGGAAATCTGGTGGCGAGCCCTCCCTGTGTGCTGTGAGGGGAGCGCTGGGCACTGGGCTGGCCCTGGAGCAGAACCCAGTGTGCAACCACAGTGACCAAAGACATTTCCTCTCATTTAGATTTTAAAGTCAATCGCATGTTTCAGGCTAAACCATGGCAAAAATCTTATGTCCTAAAATGCACAGAACACTGACCAAGCAGAAGTGAATCATTTACTGCAAAACAAAAATGTTTGGGCCTGACGGTCAGGGTCAACCTGTAGACACACGCTGGAGCTGGCTGTAGGTATGTGCTGCTGGGCGGGCTGGCACACGTGGACACACACATGGGCAGCCACACTGTCCTTAAGGCCCAGGAATACTGACCAGGGGTCTGGCAGTAGTTCTCAAGTGGGGACACTTGAGCCTCCCCCGTAGAGGAAATGGACTCTCGAGGGACAGACATCACCCTCGCTTGCATCATCAGCACCAGGAGGTGCCCAGAGTGAGGGGAGAGGCCCAGGAAGCCCGTCCCGTCCCACGCCACAAAGCGGAAGCAGGGTCTCTGCCACCTCTCAACACCCAGAGCCAGGCATGCAGGGAGGCCCATGCTGGAACACAGGAATGCTCCCTCCTCACTGTCAGGGAACGCACCCAGACGCCTCAGCATGGAAACCAAGGCTGACACCAGCCAGCCAGCAGCTCCTGTCTAGCCTCTAGCAGCCTCCTGCTAGTTATTGGCACCCCACCCACTGCTTCAAGAGGCCTGATCATTACCTAGCTTCGCTGCACTCTGCTCCGTAGCCTGGGCCAGTCTGGCTCTCCACTTAGATGCCCACCCACCCTCTCCAGTCTGTCTCCACACATTAAGACGCCCCTCAATCTTACGTCCCCAGCTTACTCGCCACCCCTTTTGTGGAAAGCTCCTTCATCACCCCGGACAACTGAGTATCTCCCGCCTTTTGCGCTGCCTTCTTGTACCTCCACTAGAGCATCTGTCATCCGCCTTTGTTTTGCAGTGATGTTCTTACATTTGAGAGTCACCTGACCTGGTCCAATTGCCTCACTGTAGTAAGTGAGAGAGCCAGAAAGTTAAAGGTTAGGTCACCTGGCCAAGGCCACAGGTCAGGACATAGCAGAGTTGGGACTTTGATTCAGACTCTAAGTACATCTGGCCCTCCCATCGAAGGACTACTGTAGCATGGCTGCTAACGAATGAGGAGCATGAGACTTGGAAAGTGATTTTCCAAGAGCACGTGGTTGATAAATTCAACCATGTTGAATTTACTGGAAGCAGAACCAGTGCTTACTGTCTGTAGCCATTCAGAATCGACTGGAAGCAGAACCAGTGCTTTCAGGCTAAACCATGGCACTGGTTCTGCTTCCAGTCGATTCTGAATGGCTACAGACAACACTAAAAGCTGACGCACAGCAGGTGCTGTCAATGTGTGTTTAATTGCATGAAGTCAGAGTGGGTCTTACTAACCTTACCACAAACTTCCTCCTGGGAAGGATAAGTGGCACCAGCCTCATCAACCCCACTCAAATGCTGCAGGGAGCATATAGCATCCAGGCAGGTGGTACCTCCTGCTTCTGCACACCTGCCTCTCTCACGAACACCCCACTTAGGGCTTAACACCAGCCTGGGGGATGGCACTCCTGCTCTGCCACGCCTGCAACTTCAGCTTATTCACCTCAAAACTCAGTCTCACACCTGCATAAAACCCTCCCTGCCCACTGCAGAAATGTTTCTCTCCTCAACAAGGGCAGTACATGTGAATCAGCTGAAAATATGGACCTGGGGAGGGGATGTTTACCCTTCAGTGTTCCAGAGCTGCGAGCCCGTGACTACAGGCAGCTTCCAAGCTGCAGGCTGAAAGGTCGGGGCTCAACCAAGCCAAGGGTCCTGCGTAATGCATCCAGGCTGTTCGGTTTCTACCCACAACCACCTGGCTGGTCACACAGCCCTCCAGACCGCAGTCGGCCTGGCGCACAGCTGCCACGTGACAGAGTGAAGAGACCCTCCCGGATCACTCACGGAATTGGGAGACATCGCTGACAGCCCTTCAGCCCAGAAGAGGAAGACAGACTTCTGGTCTGAGGTGACCGCTGAGGTGGTAGGGGTTTCTTTCATGTGACATGGAACTCTGTAACTCCAAGTGACAGAGCCCGAGTCCCCATCCACCACCATGATCTGCAAGAGAAGGCACACAGAATGTGAGCACAGCCAGCTTCAGCAAGGCCACAGGCAGAAAACATATACATACATTCACAAATATTCAAAAAATTTTTGCACTGTTAAGACCAATTCATGGTGACCGGAGGGAAAAAGAAAGGGTGAGGATCAACTGGGGAAAAAGGGCAATGGTGTGGCGAAGGACAGAAGTGGACTTTCAACAGTGATCTCAATTCTCAAGAATACACCCCTGAAACTTATATGGTATAATGCAAACACTTCAGTTTTCAAAAAGTAAAAATAAGACAATGAAAGCACCCAAGCCAAAAAGGCACCAAAAAAAAAAGATGTTTTTTAGGAGAAAATTCACTCTGAGTTGCACCTCTCAAAGGACAATGAAGGCACTGAAACTGATCATCTCTGGTAGCCTTGAGGTCTCTCTTCATCCCAAATACATCACACCTCAGTTCTAGAGTCTCCCATTCGCCAAAATCCCCCAGAAACTCCTCCACACCCCTCCAGCCCCACATCTACTTGCCGGGTTCCTCAGCAGGGGAGAGGCTGCAGTGACACTCACAGCACATGCCCCGCCCCCTCCGCCCCGCCCCCCAGTCTCAGGTCCTGCCTTGTCTGCCCACACTCAGCCGGGCCTCCCAAAAGGAGCAAAAATCCCTGGGGGGCAGAGAAGTCCAGGGACATGTCACCAAACATTTTATTCAATCCCACACATTGTTCACGTAACTGTCACAGTGTGTCTGGGCAGGCAGGTGTTACTGTCACCCTTGTTCTACAGAATGCAGGAACTGCTGCTAGGCAAACTTATGGAATGTGCTCAAGGCCACCGTCATGCGCAGGGACCAGATTTAAAGGCAGGTCTGAAACCCTAAGCGTCTCAGCTCTTAATGGAAGCCACTGGATACCCGTATCCCTTAACCCTCCCAGGAACGCCAATGATAAGTCCAATCTTTAGCTGAAAATCCTTTGAAGTACAATCAGACGCTGCTTCTTTCAGAGAAGTAATACTGGCAGGCCCTCCTTGAAGGGACATTTTTGTTAGTGGCTCTTTCCTCTCCTGTGACCAAAAACCCTACCGCCTCAGATGTCTCACCCACATTTCTCAGCATGCCTTCAGAGTCCTCCATCAGCTTCCCCAGTAGGAAAACCTTCAGCACCCACATCTAGCTTCTGCTCTCGAAATTCTGCACTTAATCCCTGATCAACGTGAAGCCTCTCTCGCCTGAATCTGTGGGAAAACCAAAGTGACTCTGCCTAGTACAGACACCATTTCAGGACTAGAAGGGTAACTGCCTACCCCTGGAAGACAGCGGACATCCCCACTGTTTCCTTCATATACACTAACCTGTACTCATTAATCTTAGCAGAACAAAGACTCCAGTGGCATCCTCCCACCCCCCGGGTGTCTGGCATCACTAGTCTCATACACAATGACCACTCGTACTCAGGTGGGGCCTAGAAGACCCCTGGCAGGGTGGGCGAGGTGGATTCTGCCTCCTCCAGAAGACCAGCCTGCAGCTGACATCCCCTTTACACAAGCTGCCCTTAAACTTTCATAATGAGCAATGCATAAGCCTGCTTTGCTCTTCAGACTCAATCTACCTGCTCTATTTAGGGGTACTTACTCCTCCCCACACAGCCCACTCCCAGTGGTCAGCAGGCCTGGTGCAGCAACAGATGCACAGGCGCCAGGTGACAGGAGCCTCATCCTCACGATGTTGTGTCACCACAGAGGGGCCCTGAGCAGCCAGCACGGGACTGACACACGTCAGTGGCAGTGAACGAGCAGCACGTTCACTCTTGGGGGACAGTGTGCAATAGATACATATTTCACATACAAACTAAAAGCCTGATCAGTTATTACAAAGGGAATTTTAATGCCTGTAATGCTAAGGGAGTTAAAACTGCTCTCCAATAATTATATTCTGACAGTAAGACCTCTTCAGCTTCCTGGGAACCCTCCACACCCCCTCTCTCTGGGCGCCGGTCTTGCTGTCCTGCCTCCTCTGCAAGTAAAGACAACCCCATCTGCTCACCTTTCCCTGCTTTAGGAAGGCTTCCAGCACCCAGCTACCCTGCATCCCCCGCCTTCCCATTTACATTTATTTATACCCACCTGTTCCCACCGAGGCCCTGCTGAGGCACCTACTGTCTAATTATGAGTTCGGAACCCAGAAAAATGAACTCCTGGCTAGGCAGGAAGTTAGCTACAAAAGCCTCCAATGCTACAAGCGCAGCGCTGAACAGTGAGGCTGTATTTTCTCCATCCTGCCAGGGTTGGAGTACTTCAAAGAAAGCAAGCCAGCTTTAGATTCCTATTTCTTACAGCGCCTGGCACAGGCTGGACACAAAGCATCTATCTTCTTTATGTTCTGATGGATTTGAGCCCCCAGGTTTTACCATTTTCATCCCAACTCCATCCTGGATCTGCAGAAGGAAGTCAAGTGTCTGATCGTCCGTGAAGTACCCAGGGGTCGGCTGGCTGCAAGCGAGGCAAAGGAGGCAAGTGAGGTGAGAAAGACGAACAGGTGCACAGGGGACCCCCGCCCTTCCGTACTTGGCCCCAGGTGTCAAGCCACCATCGGGGCAATTTTCAGAACGGGACAGGGGGTCAAAACAGCAACCGTGAGGAGGCGCGCGACAGACCTGCGGAGGCCTTGAAGGCTCAGGGTCCAGCAAGGTGTGAGATTCTGCCCACGGAGCAGGACCAGGCTCTGCGTGGTCGTAATCAGGAGGTTGCTGCTATTGGAATCCGGCGCCTTCACTATCTGGAGCAGCTCGACACCATCACTGAATCAAACGAGACTCCAGGGTCAGTCCCTCGTGTGGCTCAGATTCCACACCCTCTGAGTTTGGCCTCTGAGCTTGACCCTTTGCCTGTATACTTGATTTTCTTTTTGATTTTCACCATCACGAACTTAATACCTAAAATTTAACAGGTACCCCGAAGTCCCAAAGCACTTAGTGAGGCAGTGCTGGGTTTTGTGGAACTGTGGCTTTCCGGGGCTTTTGCGACTCCCCAGGCTAACTCCTTGTTCCTGTGCCTCCCCGGCAGGTGTGCTTTCCACCCTCCACTCTGACCTTTCACTCTCAATGTTAGTATAAGAATTATAGAAAGAAAAGGAAAAATACCGGATGGCTTCACTCATAGCAGGAGTATAACGGACCAGGCGAGAAAATAATAACAATAATGAACAGCTACATACCAGAGACATTTTACAGGGGTGGAGAGGGGAATGGGATCAAAGACAGTGGGGGGAGGGAAATGCACGGGATTATGGTGATGGCACACGGGTGACTTGGTGATGGGAAATCCATGGGGATTGCAACTGAGTTGGAAAAAGGCACAAAAGGATGTAAAAATAAACTATTAAAAAAAAAAGAATTATAGCCAAATATTCTCCTCTTTATGGCCAATAGTACCATAAACTATTTTCAACCTTTCTTTTTAAAATTTGGTTTGCTCCTTTGTACCCTATGTCTCTCCCCCACCACCTGCTTCACCTCAGAAACCTCACCTCACCCCATTTACTAGCATCTGCTAGTGTTTCTAAGTATTTTGCTTTGTTGACTCATCGTTCTGTAAATGCCCACTATTTGTCTTGGTCATTCTCATTTGCTTTGCTCTACATCATTCCCTTGAACACTTTCATTTTGCTGTAAGTGGCAGCATTATACCTTTACTTATGATTGAGTACTACATGGCCAGGCCACATCTTATTGACTCAGTCCTTTATCAGTACCTGGGTTCTCTGTAGGTCTATGTTCCAGCTACTGGAAATAGTCCAGCAGTAAATACTGAAAAGCAAACAGTTCTTTGAGTGAATGGTTTCATGTGCTTCAAATTGGCTTTAGCAGTTCCCATCCACGATGCATTCTCTCCCCACCAGTCTCCTATCAAATGGAATACTCTGTCTTTCCAATTGAAAGTCCTTTTCTGGACCTTTAGAAGGCAAGTATCCCTAAAAACACAAGTTCAAAATGAACCCAGAGAAGTGCTGAAAAGCTGAGCTCTTACAGAGGACAGTCTGGGAAGGTAACAGAGTCGAAGATAATGGCGGACCCGCAGGGAGGGAAGAGGGGGTCTTCAGGGAGCTGTCATGCCTTGTGGTCAACTCCAGTCATACACGTCATCGAATTAGTGGGTTGTCAGAAAAGTCACGACATATTTTTTCTATAATTTTTGTTGCAAAAACGTTGGCTTTTCTGACAACTTAGTATCTTTCTAAAACACAGACTCTTCGATCTAAATCTACTGGATTCACCAAAGTAATATGATACTGCCTAATTAAATGCTCGACTATGATTTGAAACTTCTGTTAGAAAAAATGAAGACAACAATAGCCCCCTCTGGGGTTAAATGAGTAAAATGCACCGCATGTGACAAATGACACATTTTAGTTACGAAACAAGTTAAAAAAAAAAAAAAAAAACCAAGGTGTTTGCCTTGTTTCTGCCAAAATGATGCTTCAAACTATCAGAAAGATACAGGAAAAGATACAGATACTTCAGCTTAGCTTTATAAGTAGATATTTTAAATAAACCTATTTCCCCAAAGAAAGGTTCTCCAGCCCCAGCCTGTCCTGTTCGCACTTGGAACCCTAAATAAATACCCTTCCTTGCAACCAACCTGTAAAGTGATGGCAGATCAGTCATCAACATAGACAGTAACACATTATGTTATCAAGAACAGAAAACTTCTCACGCCTGTTAACCAGACCATACAGTGGATAAGAGGACGAACACCGCTTCCTCCAAACCTCACCCACATATTCACCAGCCCACCCACACATAGACTCCAGGGCACTGTGACAAGGTCAGACACCTGCCCTACCTGTAAATGTCAATGAACTCGGACAGGTTGATGGATCTCCGCTTCTCCCATTCTGGCTCTTCTATCTGCAGAGAAGGTGGTGAGCTGTCTTGATTTTGGGCCTCAACAAAAAGGTCCCGCAGGGCGACAGCTTGAATATTTCCTAGCACCACAGGAAGAACCAACACTGAGAAGCTGGATTTAACAGAACTCTCCCAGGTGAGAATCTGAGCAAGAGACAGGGAACCTGATCAGAAGGGTCCGATCCAGCCCACCCAGACTGGGGCAACCCGGAATGAGTGGAGGAACGAGTCAGCGGACTAAACAAGGAGCCATCTCTTTGGAGAAGCAGCAAGGGAAAGCAGAGTGAGCTGCAATGGGTGTGGGGAGGGAGGAGCCCCTGCCATGGGAGGTGACGAAAGGCTGGGGGCAGCATGTCCTATCCAACCATACCCCAAGGGGATCGGAAGCAAAAGCTAGCCTTGCTTCTTACCAAAGCCAAACAGGATGTAGACAGCCCCACTGGTGGTGATGTAAACCTGAGGACCAATCAGATTCCCCACTCCCACGATGTTGTACTTCACCGGTCGGCCCACTGGGCTCCCTGTCCGGCCAGACACCAGCAGAAAGCACAGATCTGGCTAAAGAAATGAAGAAAGGCAGTTGAATCAATAAAGTCCTACCATTTCCTAATCAAATAACTTCCCCAGTCACTGTTCCCTACTAGCTAGGGGTTCAGAAACACTGAGATTTCTCCCAAAGTGGGAATCACAAAGCCCAACCTGCTTCCCCAGAGATAAGACAACCTTCAAATGACCTTGTCAGACACAGGCAAAGGGCACCTTCAGAGCTACCTCAGGCAATGTCCCTGAAGCACAGCTACTGCTGAGCAGACTCTAGAAGCACAGAATTCTTGCCCAGAGCTAAACAGAGGACAGCTGACCTCCAGTCTACTTCCATCCCCAGAAATTAATGCGGGCAGCACTCTCCTATCATTATGAGCCTTACTCTTAAGCAGAGATTGGTTACTTGCTCTGTGAAGAGCTAGATGATAAATATTGTAATTTTTCCAAACCAGATGGCTTCTGCACAATTCCACTCTGTGACTACAGTATGAAAAAAAACCATGAATAATACAAAAATGGATAGGCGTAACTGTGTCCCAATAAAACTTAATTTATAAAAACAAACCATGAGGGAAATTTGGCCTTCAGGACTTATTTGCTTTAGAGCATTTTCTTTGGAGAGTAGAGCTGCCAGTTCGGAAATACAGAGATTATATTGATAGACTGACATGGGTAGAGCTTTAGATACAGTTTATCATCATAAGTTCTTAAGGAAAGATAAAGCGTTATGTATTTCAGTGTAGCCAGAGAAAGATGCCAACCCAGAGGGAGGTTTCCAGCAGGAAGTCACCACACTCTGCCATTGCCCCATTCCTGTTAATTACCCTTCTCACAAAGCCAGGAAGAATAGTGACTATGCTGTACAATATACTGAAAACTGAGAACAGTCTTAGGCTAAAAGATGGATCAAAATAATGGAAGAAGAAATTATACCACTGATTAATTGGTTATTAAAAGAAACGGTGTTTTAAATGAGTCTAAGTGAACCGTGATTCTTGGGAAAGCTACATTAATAGAAAGACTGTATCAAAAGAACTGATCTTTTTGGTATGTTGGTATCTCATTACATATGAACAGAGCACTGAATTCAGATATAGGTGCCACATTTTAAAAGACATCTGGACAAACTGGAGCACAAAGGGAAAGAAACCAAAGAGGATAGGGTCTGGACGTGAGGACAGCATATGAAACCAGCGATTATTTATTGTTGAACGAGAGTAACAGGCTTAGAGAGACAAAGCTAACGGTTAAAGGGCTTTTATCCAGAAAGAGACTTACATTCATTCATAGCAGCTCTGTGGGCTGAAGGAAGAGTAATGAGTGGAAGTGACGAGAAAGCAGAATTCTCATGAATATGACAGAATTTTCTACAGCTGACCAAAAATGAACTGGGCTCACAAAAGAGTGTTATTCCCATCAGCGTGAGTCCTCAGGGAGCGTGTGAGGCCACTGTGTCTGGAACACTGCGTCAAGATTATAGCACGATGGGAGAGGGTTAGCCACATGGCTTTCAGGCTTCCACTAATGTTCTAGCACAGAGCAGTTCCTCTAATCCCAAAGCAGCTCCAGCTATCCCAAGCCAACCCCACTCCACTCCAGCTCTAAGAACACAACTTTAACCCATCAACCTAATGTGCTTCACTGCTGGTGAAGACAACTTTCCACACTGGCAGCTTAGAGTATAACAGGCCCCACAGGTTCCTTGTTGGTAGAGAGGTCAAAAAAGGTCAGTATGAAGATGGAGACAATGCCCTAAACCCATAGCTTCAAGATTTTTCAAATACAGTTTACCACTTTTCAGGCAAAATGAAAACTGTTCCACATCTGTACACTAGTGTGCAAAGGACTAATTTCTGTGAGGCAAGCTAGGTAATCACTGGCTTTGTTTTCTGGCAGAGACCAAAAAGAAGGGACAAAATAGACCCCTATGGAGGGTATCAACCTCCACAGAGATTGTCCCACCAACCACAGAGAAAATAAGCTAGATTTTTTAATTTGTTCAGGATAATAACCACAATTTTTTAATTTGTTCAGGATAAATAATTTGTCTCATTAGGCTTCTGCTAATGGAAATTCCATTAAAAAGAAACTCCCCATACTTTCCCATGTGGATGAATGGAATCATCACTCCCAGATGGATGAAATCACCGAAAACTTTCTAGAGCCAGGTCTCCATTCACAGTAACTGGGACAGAAAACACTGCTGACAATGCCTGAGGTCGTGGTTCAGACTACTCTAAGACCAAACAGCTGAAGAAAAACTTACAGAAGGTACCCTAACACTAACGAGATTGGTAACCTCATCACCTATCTTCTCTCATCTCACAGACCTAAGGGGTCTCCTGGTGTCCGGAGAGCAGTAGCCCTCAATGCTTGTGAGTGCGGGGCACCCTGAGTTAGCTCATGCTGCTCTTGGCAGAAAACCATGAAACACTGACAGGTTTAATTCTGTTCTAAAGCATTATACTGGCAGGTTTTAAAATGCTATACTCTAGATAGGCATTGCAAAAAGCTAGCCAGCACCCACAGGGTCTGTTAAAAAGTCTACAAAAGCTATCAAATGTGGCAAAAAAGATCCTTATCCTCATGTTCCCAGAAAAACTCTCTGCCGATTGTTCAAGTCTTTTATCCACAAAAATTTCCAGGCCAACTCACACCAAGTGGTCTGAGAGAAAGTCTTAGGGGAAAAAAAGCTTGAACAGAACCCTGGAGAAAAACTTCAGCAATAAAGCAGTAAGTTGGAGATAATTCTGTTCATGAGTGTGTCCCTTCCTGTGATTTAGGGGAAAACTACTATTATCTGTGCACGGAATAACTAGTTTCAGCATTTGGGGGCTGCAGCAAAACATCCTTGAGAAGCCTGATGAGACTCTAAGTCTAAACTACCACTTTCCTTTCTTTGGTCATTATTATGACATGTCTCAATTTTTTCTATATAGATTTCTATCGTTTTCTTTTAAAGTTTTATTTATTTATGCATACACGAACTGGGGTACAGGACAGAGGTGCAGGGTGTGAGAGGATTCACCAAAGTGGGGAGAAGAACAGGCAGATGGACTGAAATACACCACTGAAGGGAGCAGCAGGTGGGTGAGGAGAGGTCTGCTGGGCCATGTGGGTCACTTCCCTGGCTGGGGATTGAACTCATGCTGCAGTGGCTGCAGATAGACTCATAGCTCTGCATTTTAACCTACTGTGCCATAAGGGAGGGCCCAACTTCCTATCATTTTAATTGTTCATGACTGAAATAAAAGTTATGTATGTGTGTATATATATATATACACATATATACATATATATATACACATATATACGTATATATATACACATAAATACATATATACATACACACATATACATGTATTTTTAGTTCTGCTTTATTATATACACATGATTAAAAAAAAATGGGTGTTACTGTAGGTCTAACTTTTAGAACAATCCCACCAGTAGATATCACATTGCCATTTTACAAAGGAGAACCAAGTTCCCAGGCTTGCCTGAGGCCACAAAGTTACAGCTTTGTGTGAGAGCAGACACTCAAACATACACTTACCTGGCTCCAAAGTTCTACCCTGCCACAGTCAATGGCAGCAAAACAGCCAAGAAGATGGGTTCACGATGGTAATGTATTTATCAAATGTCATGAAGAGAACTGACTTAAACTGAAGCTCTTATAATAAGGTTTAAAGCAGCATTTATACCGGCACTAGGAACTGGGATAACTCGAGCTGACGCTTCCCTGTGAGAAACCAGGACCACTCCACAGAGCACGTACCTGTGAGTCCCCGATGGCCAGAACCACCAGGTCTCGGACGCCGTCTTCATCCACGTCCGGCAGCACCACCCCTGGGGCAGCCAGGGTACCGTTGGAGAAGTAGTTTGGGTTTAAAGTCCAAATGACTTTCCCTAGGGAAAGACAACAGGTGCACATAGGTAGGCCTTTCTGCCTCTGGAAAGGGCACTGTGATGCTCAAAGGACAGCAACGCCCACTCACGTTGCCCTTTAGTTTTTATCTTAACTGAGGAGGTGGGGTAGGGAGTGGGAGCTAGCCTATGAAATAACCTCACACCTAGATTCTTTAGCTAAAACGGAGGTGTTGAAGTCTTTCCAAGAAGCAGGAGCCTGCTTGTCTAGGGCAGAGATATTGATCTGTTTGGGAATATCACCAAGATCAAGGAGCCAAAACCGGCAGCCAACCAAAACCCAGCTCACTTCCTCCCAACATATGTTCCCATAAGTAGAGAAACCATGGGAGGTCTTCAAGATGTGACTTCACTTCTAGAGTTACCGCACACCCAAATTTTCTTCACTCGGAAGCACCCCACTACAAACTCCAAAATCTAAAGCTAGAAAGAATGATCTTTCTTCAAATTCACTTGAGACCACAGAGCCAGGTGTTATCAAACACACTGGCAGGACAGTCTCACTCTGTAAGGAGCATTCAGTAGACAGGATTCTTTTTCATTTTGCTGGTCATGCATGTCTGAATGCAGTAAGAAAATACAAAGCCAAATCAATATGACTCCACAGACCTCGGTTTCTTCACTGGCATGTGTAAGTAGTCATAGCCAAGTATGGGCACCACGTAGGTCAACTATGAAGAGACCAGGCTTAGCAACCTGTACTAAGAACAGAACTTACAAGCCGCAGGCCTCAGGGTAGTTTCTGTTTGGATAACTCAGGTTAGCCCCATCCTAATACCAAACAGGTTGAACCATGGATGTATCACTCAGTCTACTCAAGCCCTTTCCCTTACATCCACCTTCCAGAGTAACAAATCAGACTTCCTACCACACGAAGGGGAAAAGGCCCCCCTCCCACCAGACTGTTGTGATGGCAATGAGGGCTCCCTGGAACAGAGAGCCATTGTGGCTAGTGACCTTTACCTGATGTCGCATTGAATGCACTGAGCATCTTCTGTGTCCCTGTCACAAGGCAGATGGTTTTAGCACTGCTTCCTGGCATCAGATCCAAGCATGTGATATGGCGGGCCTCCTCAGGAAGGGGACTGGACCACAGTGTGCTGCCATTCATCCCCGACAGGCACACGAGAAGAGCAGCTGGCCTCGGGGCACCTAAGAAGATGGGAGAGACAGGGAAGAAGAGGAGGCAGAGGGGGAGAGCAGCAGGGTGAACTGCAGGCCGGGAGGTGAAGCTGCCGAAGTAAATGGTGTAAGGCGGCAACTCAGACCATTCGGCTCCCTCCTGTGTCCTGGTAACAAAGTCTGAACAAAGTCACAGCCGTTCTGAGAACACAGCTCTGATGGCAGACCCCGTGCCATGGGACTGCTCACTTCCCCCAATGTCATTTCCAAGCGGGCACTCGCCCTTACTAAATGGGGACGCTCTTCGGGACAGCTGAAATAGTTTTAATTCTACAGCCTCAGTGCCTTGCAGTGTACCTCACACATATGGCAACTATGAATAACTGCTCGCAGAATAGAAAGAAAAGAGGCTGCTGACGAGAAGCACAGCAGGAGGAAAGGTCTGCTCGGAAGAGGGAGGCTGGCCTAGGACGTGTGCAGAGAAGGAGCAGAAGACCTCAACACTTCACTAGCAAATCTCCCTGAGAGCAGACAAGCAATTGTATCTTAAAATAAACCTGAAGATTATACATAGCCAAGATCAGCAGGTCTTTCTGGTCTAGAGTTTAACAGAATCAGCTGATTTGGCCCCAGTTAGGAGAAAATGGGAAAATGTACCATCTGGATCCAAGCATAGCAGGTAAAGGATTAGAGTAATACCTCTTCAATAAATAATCCTTTGTGCCATTTAATTAACATGTCAGTCTAACTTCATCCTCTGCCAGTTTTACATTCAGTCAGAAGGATAATGACGCACGGTACTTCCAGCAAAGGCCAAGAAGGTTCGGGAAATGTAGGTGTTACAGCTTCATTATACCTATTCCTCAGTACTGCCAAATAAACACACAAGTGACAACCAGGTTGTGTTTGTCTTTTTCAGACCTTGTTGCCAAAATCAGCACTATTCATGGCAGCCTGCAGTTAATACAGGTGACCTTTCGACACCCAGGGAAGCTCTGATGAACATCCTGGGTTCTGCTTCCTCCATGAAGCACCGTGACTCCTTATTAATCCTCTGACTCATTTTTTTGCCAGGTGGTGCCAGATCTCTCTTCCTCACACATCTGGTTTAGCTAAATGCAACAGCCCAGAGCTTGTAAGCCGCACAGTAGAGCTTCCTCCCAATACTGTTGAATGAATGAAAGGACAAATGTGCAAATAAAAAAATGCAACCCTTCCCATTCTCAGTGGCACAGATTTGAACCCACTGGCTGGGGTTATTATTTTAAAATAATCCTGAAGGTTTATTTGACAAGGTATCAAGGACATGACCTCGAGAGTCGGACCCCCAGGACGTAGACCCCTGCTCTGCTATTCACCAGCTATGGGACTTTGGGCACCATATCTGTTTCCCCCTCTTATCAGCCTGCTTCACAGGATTTGATGGATAAAGTGGTTCATAATAGTATTACAATGGTGCGAAGCAAACAGAAAGCACTATATGTTAGCTGGTTATTGTATGTTATTATTTTTACAATCTGTGGCTGGTCCATCTTGAGTCTTACACCCCTTGGTCTTGCCATATGGGTTCTGTTAATGCAGCAAGTTCATTACCAAATGACTAAAATAGCTCTAACTTTAAAAATGGAAGTGGAAAGTTTTTACTTCAAAGGCTAATGAGTCACAGGTAGGGAAGAAAAAAAGTAACTAAGGTCCAGCTGCATATAAGTAAATTTCTGGGCAGGAGGTCCTCTATATCCCTAGGAGCTATACCCAAGTTGCTTCTGTATATTGCACCAGCCCCAGAAAGGTATTTCTAGTAACATTAGAAAGGCTGCAGCCTCAGAATTCTCTAAAACATTCCTAGATGTTCACCAGGATCTGAGTGACTAACAGGTAGGTGTTCTCATTCTCAAACAAAAGTTCTGCATCCATTTAGACTTCAACTTGAATCTACTTTAATGGAGGCTGCAGAACAAACCCAAAAGCCCCATGGACCTCTGCTGAAAATACAGAACTAATTTTCTTTTTGCCTCGTTACCTAGTGGAAGGCTTATAAAGAGATATTTATAAAACCTGCTCAGGGGATAAGGAAATCACAAGGGATATGCAGTCTCTTGGAACTATTACCGCTCTAGGCCCAAAGGGACAGAGGAGGCAGAGAGGAGCAATGGCCAGTGTATGGCCGGCCAGTGGGCTACACACCCGGCCCTCACTCCTGCTGCCCTGCCTCTTGCCTCTGCTCCCCACTGGCCAAACCCAACTGAACTCCACAGATCAGGGAGCCTATTAACATAAACCACACAGGCCAAGCTCCCAAACAGGGCAGAGAGCGGAGACAGAGCGTACACAAGGGTCAGAGGAAAACACCCAGCCAAGATGTACACGTGTAAGGTGTGTGAGAACATGAACAAAGGCTTTCTGCTGGGCGGGGGCGGGAGGAGAGAGTCGGTGTTGATTTTAACTTAAGAAGCAATAGAAAATTCACTGGGACAAGACTCAAAAAGCCTAAGATGTTCACTGTTTACTGTTCACTGCAGGTGTGCAGGAAAGTCACTTTCTCTCTGGATTGCACGCAGCTTCCTCACCTGCCTCCCTGGCCACTAAAAATTTCAGCCAGTGGCCCTCCCTGGTGGCGCAGCGGGTTAAAGCACAGCACTAAAAAGCTAAAGCCACTTCCACATGAGTTCAATTCCCGCCTGCCCCGGAGGAGATCCACATGGCACAGCAGACCTCTCCTGACCCGCCTGCTGCTCCCCTCAGCAGTGTACTTCATCGATCTGCCTGTTCTGCTCCCCGCTCTGTCTCTGGTGAAGCCTCTCGCCGCCTCTGAGCCTCTGGTCTGTACCCCAGTTCTGTATGCACAAATAAATCTTTAAAAAAAAAAAATTCAGCCAGCAACAACGCTCTCTGCTTCCTTGAAAGGAGCTCCATTTGCATGCAAGAACTCTCTCAGCAGGTTTATCCTGTAGGACTGTATTCACTGCCTACTGTTCCATGGGGTCCCTCAGAGCTGACTGGCCCTGACAAGAAACTTCTCCTGCAGCCAGCCCACGGCCCGGCTCTTACCGACAGCGCTCCTGTTCCTTGAGGTCACAAAGGAGAGAAGTACGTCACGCAGGCCGTCTCCATTTACATCAGCCAACTCCAGCGGAGACAGATCCCCACCTGAAGACACATTAAAAAAAAAATGTCCTAAGCAAGTTACCCCAAAACAGTGCCCCACTCCTGGTGAGAAAGGGTGGACACAGAGCACTGCCAGCACCACCATAGATATGGAGTAGCCCGCTGGGCCCAGTCCCGCATTAAGAACAGCTGGTGAACTGTCATATCTCTATAGCAGAGAAGACTGTAAAAGTGGAAGAAGAAGGCAGGCCGACTAGGGACCGGGGGCCCCAGGAATGACAAGGCGGACTCCCTTGATGTTCTTTTGCACCATGTATCCCTGCTAGGATGCTGGAGACACTGACAAACCACAGGAATAGATTTTTAAAAGGCCTCAAATCAAGCTGGATGCCCCACACTGACAATTTGCTACAGTCTTTATACTATATGTGAATTTTATAGCTGTTACTTAAAAAAGTCAAAAAAGCAAGAGAGAGAGGGAGCTAGGACTGTGTCCACCCACTTTCACCCGCAGACAAAGTAGAAACATGAACACAGTACACACCAGAAGCTAAGTCAAGCAGGATCAGGGGAGTAGCAGTGGAAATATTTCCAGCCCAAGGAGATGTAGGAATCTGGGGAGGGGAAATTTCTCTTTGGAAAACCCCTCTTAGGATTTCTAGCTGGGATTGTGATAAGGCAGATTACCAAGAGACAAGCGTCAAGTTTTATTCGATAAAATTGAATGTGTCCTTGGGAGTCCCCAAAGAAAATGGAGGCCCAAACAAGAGTCCAGGCCCTGGGGCTGGTAAACTAGTTTCACTAGGTAACGAAAACAACTGAGGAGCCGAAAGGAAGAGGGGTCATTCTGACAATGTGGATTTGCACAGGCTTCTCTTGGCCTCCACTCCCAGGGCACAGAGGAACAGCTTTCCTTCCTTCCCTGCGGAGAGGCCGACCCACTCCTCATTTCAGCACAAACTGAAGGCCAGAGCCCTTTCTGCATCTGCCTTTAACCCAAAATGATCCTAGGGCAAAGCAGCCTATTTCAGGTGGTGTGCTCTGAAGCTCTTCAGTCTAACCCTGTAGACAAGAGACAGGACCTCTCAGCACTGAGTTCAGACACAATTCTCATTCTTGACCCAGTGCACGCTGCTTTAAAGAAACCTGCTTCAAAGTAGGACAAATCATCTTAAAACCACCCTAATCATCAGAGCAAGAAAGAGAAGTTACTGCAGGAAAGCAATTCTCTTTTGCTCGAAAAGAAATTATTCTAAAATTCAAATTTAGCCAGGTTTCTTTTCATATCTAGGTCTGGCTATCAAGGAGCGCCTGGGGATCCCCCAGCTATCGGCCTCTGGACTGGTCAGACCTGAGCTTCACTCTTTTCTGAAAACTGCCCTCCCACAGCCCTGCATGCCCCTGATTCAGGGGGGCTGCTTAGCAGATTCCAGCAAACCAGTGCTCCACTCTGTCTGCATCGAATCAAGACCAAGGCCAATAAAACCAACAGGGAGTGGTCTTCCCAAACTGCTAGAGTGGTACCCATCCATCTTGATGTTGCATTTCTAATCCCTAACCACCGCCACACATACAGGAAGGGAAGTACCATAGGACACATATTTATTTTAAAGACCAGGAGACTTTTCATATAGAAGTTTTACAGACTTAACATATAATAATGGTAACTGAGAGAAATGGGGGTGAAAAATCCTGCCACTCACCTCCTTGGGGGCCCAAGGGGCGACTCCAAGTGCTATGCAGATCTCTGGGGGGGCAGGGGATCAAGAAAGCGCAGACAAGCACCAGGATCATGGCGATCACCACGGTCAGCAGGAAGAGAGAGGTGCGTGCGTACGAGGCGACGGAGGAGGCTGCCTTCTGCTCCAGGCCCCCCAGGGGTTCAGAGGGGTACCCCTCCGTGGTGACCTCCGAAAGATGTGGCTTTGCAGCCCCTGCAACCTCGGCATCCGAGTCTGGCTCCGGGGCATCTCCCAGGGTACTTTTGCCATTTTTGACCCCTCCATTCTTTTGCTGCAAGTTCAACACAAGATCATCTTCGCTTTCATCACTGTCGGCCTGTGTGAGTGGGTCGTACTCCCCCAGGTCTGGGCTCTTCTTCCCTGGCAAGACAGAAAGATAGCCCGTCAAGAAGCAGGAAGGAGGGCCCTCCCTGGTGGCAAAACAGATTAGGATGTAGCACTGCAAGCTGGCCGCAGCTACTTCAGTACAAGTTCGATCCCCAGCCCAGAGGTGACCCACATGGCTGGCAGACCTCTCCTGTCTGGCCTGCTGCTCCCCTCAGCAGTGTACTTCATCAATCTGCCTGTTCTGCTCCCCACTCTGTCTCCGGTGAAGCCCCTCACCACCCCTGCACCACTGGCCTGTACCCCAGTTCTGTATGCATAAATAAATACAAATTTAAAAAAAAAAAAGCAGGAAGAAGACACCCTGCCAGGTACATGGCAGCTGTGAACAACTAGAAGGGAGAAAACTACAACGTGAGTAGAGGGGACCAGGCTGGTGCTCCTGGCTATCTGTTTAAAGCTATTGTTTTTAGGAGTTTAAAAAAAGTGGAGAACAAAGAGAAATTTCAGATACCTTTTTAGTTAACAAAGAAAAAATGTTCTAAATGCACTTGACTCTCACTCATGAAAGCGATGGCTCACAGAGTTTCTCCTCTGCCATGGTTTCGCGTGGATGACGTCTCCACCTTTCCTAGGACTTCCCTAAACTTTGAGAGCCACTGTTCTCTACACTGCTTCCCACAGCCCACTGCTTGTGGCTTCTCAGTTGTTTCTGTGGGAACAGCTTAGAAAGCTGAGCACTCGCTGTCATCCACACACATCTTGCTGCAATCTCCCTCCTGACAACCTTCCTGTGAGTCAAGTGCACAGCAGCGCTGGTTTCAGTAAGCAGAAACCAGCGTCTACCACCTCTCCCCTCCCCCCAGAAGGCTCCTGGGACCATCTCTGCTGGGAGGGCAGGGACAGAGCAGGACGCAGAAGTGGGAGCAGGACCGGAGGCTGCTTTACACAGGGAGCACCAGGCTTCCACTTAGCATGTTAATTTGGGGAGGCTGAAAGGTAGAAGTTATCGGAAGGCTGGTGCAGCCAGCCTCCCCCACACCCCCCGCTGTCAATGGCTGAAAGATTTTATGCTTTTATTTCATAATATAAGCAAAACAAAAGCCAAGGAAAAGTTTCTATTTTTGGAAATTACCTGTTACAATGTAAGGTCTATTGTTAAATATTTTGTTTGGGGGGGAAATTATATATATATATATAATTTATATAATTATATAAATTTACATATTATTTATATAATTAATATAATATTTTATATATACACACACATACCAGCCAATTAAAAAGGCAAAATAGGGCCCTCCCTGGTGGAACAATAGTTTAAGCAAAGCACTATAGAGCTCTCCGAAGCCACTGCAGCACCAGTTTTATCCCCAGTCAGGGAGCTGACCTACATGGCACAGCAGATCTCCTGACCTGCCTGCTGCTCCCCTCAGCAGTGTATTTCAATAAATATACCTGTTCTGTTCCCCATTCTGTCTCTGGTGAATCCTCTCATGCCCTGTACCTATGGCCTGTACCCCAGGTCTTGTATGCATAAATAAATAAGTCTTAAAAATAAATAAATAAAAAGGCAAAATAAAGAATTCTTGATGCCCACCTCTGCTTCTCGTCATGTGGGTGACAGCACTTCCTATATTAAATCTCAGTTTGCCTGAGACATAAAATGAAGCAGAAAAACATGATAAGGCGACCAACATGGGAAATAAACTCCTTAGGGTAAAAGTTCAGTGCTTGTCATACAGAATGTCAGTAAATGTTTGATTAGAAAACAAACAGCCCACAGAAGTAGTCTCTAACATAAGTACTCTGCAAAACAACAACAACAACAACAACAAAAAACGAGACAGAAATCTGGTGTTCTATTAACTAAAAATTCCTAAGTATTTTCATTTTCAGAACTACTCATTTTGTCTAATAAATACTGCATTTGATTTTTTTTAAAAAAGATTTATTTATCTGCGCATACAGAACTGGGGTACAGGCCAGAGGTACAGGGGCGGTGAGAGGATTCACCAGAGACAGAGTGGGGAGCAGAACAGGCTGACTGACAAAGTACACTGCTGAAGGGAGAAGCTGGAGGGTCAGGAGAGGTCTGCCAGCCATGGGGTCACCTCCGGGGATCAAACTCATACGGAAGTAGCTTTAGCTTCTTAGTGCTGTGCTTGAACCCACTGTATCACAGGGAGGGCCTTGGATTTTATTTTTAAAGGCACACATTATAAGAAAATAAATCTACCACTAGAAATTTAATTCAAAACAGTACTTCCAGAACGTGCCATACATTCAGCAGAGGTTCAGGTTAGACTCCTGAATTCTTTTATTCATTAGGGAGCACCAGTCTCTAACCATCCCAGGCATTTTCATTTATAAATATCTGCAAACATAGTAATACAGTGTTGTAACAACATTAACTCCAATACTTATTAAGTGCTGTTTTTTTGTTTGTTTGTTTGTTTTTAACTAAAAGAGGATGTTGATTGGACACTCCCTGGTGGCACAAGGGGTTAAAGCACAGACTACAAAGCTAACCCTAAGCTACAGCCACTGCAGCATGAGTTCAATCCCTGGCCAGGCAGTTGACCCACATGGTACAGCAGACCTCTCCTGTCCTGCCAGATGCTCCCTTCAGCAGTATATTTCAGTCAATCGGCTTGTTCTACTCCCCACTCTGCCTCTAGTGAATCCTCTCACCGCCACCTGCCCTGTACCCCAGTTCTTGTATACATAAATAAATAAATCTTTTTTAAAAACAATGCTAAGAGGATGGTGTAAATGTAGCATACATATACACTGGAGTATTTAAAAAGTAAGGTAGTCCTGACACATGATTCAGCACTGATGACCCTGGAGCACTATGTAGGAGAAATCAGAGTTCACAAAAGAATAGGCATGGAGGATTCTACTCATATGAGAATATAAAGCTGTCAGTTCAAATAGAAATTTCTAGGGTCATGGGGTGGGGGCAAGTGGGGAATTAGTGTGGTGGCTATAGTCAGTTTTACAGTCTGAAACATTTCTGGATATTGGCTGCACAGCAAAGGGGATATACTTGATGATACTGATAGGATTTTTGTATTGTTTAAAATGTTTAAGATAGTAAATACCACAAATATTAAGTTTCATTTAAAAAAAAAATACACCTGATATGCCCTCCCAAGGAGTGCAAGGGGTTAAGACGAAGCACTGCAAGCTGGCCGCAGCCACCTCAGTGCAAGCTTGATCCCCGACCCTGGAGGTGACCACATGGCACAGCAGACCTCTCCTGACCCGCCCGCTGCTCCCCTCAGCAGTGTACTTCATCATTCTGCCTGTTCTGCTCCCTGCTCTGTCTCTGGTGAATCTTCTCACCGCCCCTGCTACTCTGGCCTGTACCCCAGTTCTGTATGTCTAAATAAGTAAATAAATCTATTTTAACAAAATACACCTGTTAAAGATGAAAACATACGTAGCAGCCTCAAACCCCACGGTTGGAAGAGACTTGAAGATCACCTCGTCCACCCCCGCTCCCCTCCCAAGCTTGCCCTCCTGACAAGCAGGCACAGGCAGCAGGCACTCAGCACACCTGCACGTGAGCAGTTTGAGGAATTCACTGCTCCCCAATCTAGAAACAGTCCACAGAGAATCTGTAGCTGGGCATTTGACAACTCTCTGTGTTAGCTTTAATTTCTGGGACCCCTCTTCCACACATCTTCAAATACTTGGAGACGCCGATCATGAGAAGCTGATATTAGAGCTCAAGTTTTTACAAGTCAACAAAGAAAGTCAAAGCTTGGCGCTCTCTCTCTTATTAATTATGAGACCTTGATTAAATTCTCCACTTTAAATGGGATTGCTCCTACCTTATATGACTGTCATGAGGATTGACTAACGTAATATTGCCTGGTTCTTAGTGCCTGGCTTATCGTCACAACCAATACATTTTAGCATCTATTACTATTGTTGACATTGTATTTTCCAACTACCCTCCACCAGCCTTCTAGTCTCCAAGTTAAATGTCCCCACCACAACCCATCCTTTGAAGAAGCCAACTTACTGTCTCAGGTGTTTGACTCTGAGTCACTCCCCTCCAATCACAGCATACTCTGTCAGTGCCACTCAAGTATGTCTCCTGGGGCTGGGAACGCAGACTGCAGTCTGGCGGGGCAGGGGAGGACAGAGTGGGTCTTCCTAGCCCAGCGAGTATACTGCAGTTCAGTGAACTGGAAGCTGAGAGTTTGCCAGCTTTCTTGGCAGTCAAATCACAAAACTGACTGAGCTCAAGTCTTTTCTATACATACTCAAGCCACCCTATTTATTGACTGCACCACTGGATTTTTTAGCAGTAAGTGAAAATTTTAGCATCAACACTAATAAACTTGATCTTTCTGGTCAGTTTTCATCCTGCAACAAACCTACCTGACAAAAACAGCACCTTTGCCACAGTAAAATCATGACTAAAATGCCGGCTAACAAGACAGTTCAAAGGAAATGCATTTTCATATCACTATATCATAGGGAGGAAGAGAATTTGGCTGCATATACCGCAGACGCTGGTAAAATCCTTACTAAACCAATAAAAAACAAATGGCAAGTATTCTGTGAAAAACAATACTGCTACTGCACTTGTCCCTTTAGTAAGATGATATGTTTCTAGATAATGATGGCAGAGAAAGGCAATTCTGTCCTTCTATTCCCTGAAACCAAGGGGGAAATGAGAAATAAAAATAGAACAGAAAAACAGGAAATAGCCACATTTCCAAATTACAATTTATAAAAACTTGCTGCTAAATGCAGTGAACACTGTATCCAGTTGAGGAAGCTCAGTGAGAGTAGGCACCTTTGTCTCAGGTTTCCAGCAATGTGCTGGGTTCACAGAATTAATGGTGACAACCGCGACAATGATGACGATGACAATAACTGGAAATATACCTAGTCCTACCACCCCAGGTACTGGTCCAGGCACCTGCATATATTATTTTACAGAGCTCCAATAACACTAGGAGGGTGGAATTACCCCACTTTATCAACAACAAACCTAAACTCTAGAGATGCAA